AGAAATACAAGATAACTTGAGATGATTTAACTTCCATTTTATTTTACTGTTCTAAGTAAATTGATCAAAGACGAGGGAGAAAGCAATATTTTTGTCTTCACATTTCTACTGTTTGACTGAAGTTTCATCTAAGTTATTTAGCTTAATCTTCATTACAATAAGCTAGGTGTGCCACATCAATTTTCATACAATTGAAGTCTAGAATCGTTAAGTGATTTGTCAGTAATGATATAGCTGCAAAGTGGATGGGGAAGGTTCAAAACCAGGCCCACTGCCCACCCACCCCCAGCTCCTGCAGTCCTCTCACTCTGCTATGCTGATCTTCCCAGTGTCAGATGGATGGAGGTTTCATTTTTGCTGATGTAATAGAGCCCTCTAGACACCTCAGCCACTTGGCTCTGTAAGTCTCTTTTATAGTTAATATTATTTATACGAGTACAATGTTAGCTACATTTCCCAACCCATAGAAAAAGCAAATTGTATAGTATTAACTCACATTAGAAAAAATTAATTTAGGGCACATTGAAAACATAGTAAAGCCCACATTTGTTCTAATATGTTGTGATTGTCACTTTTGGGATTTAGATATTGGCCAAAGGGCTTACATTTTCCCAAATGCAATTTTACCACACTATTTCAACAGTTGTGAGTTTCACATATTTTAAAGTTGTTTAGTGTGATGCTATTCGTGGAATAGACTTCCACTTTAAAACATAACAGTCTGTGTTCAATTTTATCATGTGGCCATTTATTAATGCTATTTTAAGAACATTATTATTTAACTTTTCATATACATTTTATTTGAGAGAGTATCTCCCAAGTTTTTCTTCCACTTGCAAGTTTCCTATTTAGAAAAAAATTCTAAATTTGGGGAAAGTCAGTATCATTTAGTAGAGTATATTATATTACATAAAATCTAAGATGGGTGGAAATGGGAGACTGAGATTTAATTTTTTCACTTGTTATACATTTAACATGTATGAAGTATAGATATCATAATTTATTATGGAGGGGAAAATAAAAGAGATTTTTCTCTGAAGCTTTTTGTTTCATATCCCCATAGCAACTTGGGTAGCTTGTACTCTGACTTTCATACAATTATAACGATGGCACTATGCTTTCAGAGGCAAAGGTAAAAACATTAAGTATTCTTTAAGATTGTTACTTTTACAAAGTTCCCATTCTGGTAGAAACAAATGCAGTATAAAAACAAAAATTGTTCCACAAGTCTAAGTCAGCTGGAAACTCCATTCTGAGGCTCTCTGGTGTCTCCAGCCTACTTTCTTCACCTACAGATAATAGTGCTCAGGTTTCAAGGTTACAGTGGAGATTGGAGGTAATATCTGTAAAGCATCTGGCACAAAAGCTTGCTCGTGGCAGGTATTCTTGTAGCATCTGCTATTCCTCTTTCTGTTTGCATTCTGCATCTTAGGGTGGAACCATAGGTCTTGCTGCATCAACTTAGGTCCACAATAAATGGCATTTCTCTTTCTTTTCAGTTTGATAATAACTCCTTGACTGGCCTGTCCAGATCAGCAGGAAGGCCACTTTCGCCCCATGCAAGTAAAAGCACAGATGCACACCCCACCATCGTGACCCAGAGGACCCCAGCATAGATCACTGCTCCAAGTACTTGGCCCCAGATTACTCATCACCCGGAGGATGCTAGTTAGCTGTGCTCGTTTACCGATAGGTGTATTTTCCCCCGCAGCTGCTGCTGTTGCCAGCACGTAACAGCAGCGTTTGCAGGATGGCTGAACACCTGCAACAGCTGCCCCGGGGTGAAGAATGAGGTCGAGGCCAGAAGGAGCCTTTCATCAGAACTTAATTGAGCCAAAGAGACTGCAAAGGCAAGGACAAAGGCAAGACATGTGTCTCAAAGGGCACATGTATGTGATAAACAGTGGCAGAGGGGCCACATGATTCCATCCCCAACAGTGCCAGACCAAGGATAACCACATATTTGATCAAACAAAATCCAGTTACTTCACCTGCTTGTATTGTGGCTTCTTAAATAATAACGTTCTGGAAACAAAATGGGTTTTGCTCATCAATGTGCCTGGTTGAAAAAGCAAGGATCCTGTACAAGTGATTCTGCAGGCAAGAATACTGGAGTGCCATGCCCTCTTCCGGGGGATCTTCCCAACCCAGAGATCAAACCTGGGTCTCCTGCATCCCCAGCAGATTCTTCACTGCCTGAGCCACCAGGGAAGCCCCATAGACTGAAAATAATCCCTCCAGAATCCTCAAGGGCATTGTGGCCGGTGCTAGGTTTCTGAAGTCACATGAGATACGGATTTGAGTATATGGTATTTGGTGGCTCAGTGGTAAAAGAATCCACCTGCCAATGCAGCAGATGGCTTCTCTCATAGCTCAGCTGGTAAAGAATCTGCCTGCAATGCAGGAGACCCCAGTTCGATTCCTGGGTCAGGAAGATCCCCTGGGGAAGGGAAAGGCTACCCACTCCAGTATTCTTGGACTTCCCTAGTAGCTCAGCTGGTAAAGAATCTGCCTGCAATGTGGGAGACCTGGGTTTGATCCCTGAGTTGGGAAGATTCCCCTGGAGAAGGGAAAGGTTACCCACTCCAGTAATCTGGCCTGGAGAATTCCATGGACTGCAAAGAGTCAGACACAAGTGAGCAACTTTCACTTCATTTCACACAGGAGATGTAGGTTTGATCCCTGAGTCGGGAAGATGCTTTGGAGAAGGGAACAGCAACCCAATTCGGTATTCTTGCCTGGGAAATCCCATGAACAGCAGAGCCTTGTGGGTTGGTTCGTGGGGTTGCAAAAGAGTCAGACACAACTTAGCAACTAAACAACAATACTATATTTAAATATTACTGTGAGCAGATTAGAGACAGGCAGGCGATCTCTCTCCACAAACTGGTTGATCAGCCATACTCTGGTTGACCATTAGCCAGGGAGAATTAATGAAGATCTTCAGAATCAATGGATTATGGTTTAGACTAACATTGATTCTTAAACTTGGCTGATCATCAGAATTACCTAGAAAAAATATTTAAAATAGATTCATTGGCCTTAACCATGGAGATTCTTGACAATGTAGGTGTGGGTTAAAGCACCAAAACTTGGTATTTTTGACAAGAGTTCCAAGTATTTCTGATTCCATTTGGAAACAGTTAGGTGAAAGTTCAATTCAAAAATCTCCCATCACTGAGGTTCCATATCTCCGCCCAGAGACTGGAGGACTCCAGGCAGCACTGAGTGTCCTTCGTGTAACCCCCAATGCTTCAAAGACAGGTTGGGGGAATCAGTTGCCTCAAGCTATTCTTGGAGAAGACTAAATTATCTTCACTCATTTATTTGGTAAATAAATCAAGTTAGGAACCCAGGAAGTTTCTACAGCTGGCCCCTAGAAGTCAGCTGATATTCAATGTCAATCCCCTAAACATTGGGTGAAGATATATTGTTACAATATAAAACACGTCCATTGTCCATTTTTACAGATTAATAGTAGAATACCCTATGTTTGAATATGTCTACACATAAGAGAGCAAAAGCAGTAGGAGTGTCATACCTTTTTATGTTTTACTTTTTCTTCCTTCTCAAGAACAGTAAAAGTCAAATGTAATAGGGAAGGAAAAAAATTCTCAACTGTTTCTACAACTTTGTGAAATGAGAGATGGAAAAATGCATTTTTATTTATGCCTATTTATCCCTCTGAGCTTAAACTAATCCTAAAGGGTTTGAGCAAAGAGCCAGCAACACTAATGCACTGGACCAACAGGTGATTTTAATTTACTTGCTATAAATTGTTGAGGATAACCTATGCTAAGTCCGTTCTCATTAATTCATCTACAATCTCCTTTGCTGGAGTGAAAGTTGCTGATTGCACAGACAGGATCCAGAATGAAAGGCTGAACGAAGCAAAGTATGGAACATCGGCTTTTTGTGAACACAACAGGGATGTTCTCCCATTGGATCCAACACATCAAAAATCCTCAGGTCTACAGAAACCATAAAATAACGCTGGGGGAAATTAACATGGTTTCCAACATTCTGTCCAACTGAAAATATATACATTAAATGATATTAAATGTATTCATTCTTTTTCAAATGTTTCTTAATAGCTAAACTTTATTCTGAAGTCTCCAAAACTTAAGAATATGAGGAAACCGTCTCTCATTATGTAGCGGGTGTCAGCAGCAATATGTTCTTATCAAGCAGTCCAGTTTTGCCCATCTCAGCTAGCAGGAATTCATTCTGTAAACAATTATTTCCCATTGTATTCAAGACACTGTATTATTTAGTACTGGGGACAAGAATGAATATAATAATGGTCCCTGTCAGCTTGAAGGACCCCAAAAGAAGTAATGGCCTGAAGAAATCCCATAGAAAAATTTCAGAACATAAAAGTATCTGTCTCCACTGGATCACCCATATGGGGCTTAATCTCTCCTCTCATTTATCTTCAGTGGGGTCATACAGAGAGCAGCCTTAGGGGTGTTTGTTGCCTTAACTAAGGGTATAATCCCTATCTTAATGGACAGGGGAACTCTTAGGTATAGGGGGATATAAAGCTTCAGAGTTTATTAGGAAAAACCAGAGTGCTAAATACAAAATCGGAGTTAGCCACTGTACAAAAATGTGATGAATGCTACCCCAAGTCCTCAGCTCCAGCATTTATCTTACCAGAGTGTAATTTCCCACATCCATCTCTGTTCGTCCCAGTGGAAGACACTAAGTCAGGAGCAAGCCCCAGGTATTAGAAGGATTGAGAACAAATCTTGACTTTTCTTCTAACAAACTGTGATACTGGTCAAGGGCTTACCCTCTCTAAGCCTTAGTTCCTCACCTGTAAAATGGAGATATTAACAACTACTTAAAAATTTGAGGATTAAATGAAGTTATGACTCTAAAGTATCTGCAGAAGCCCTGGTACTTAATCAGTGGTTAGCGCATGGTAGCTAATCTTATTATAGGTGCCTTTGCCATGCTTTTATCATGTGTACAACAACTTATTCCTGCAAGCCCCATTGTAAGTCCTCAACTTCAACGCATTTTATTTCTAACTTGGAACCAGGAGGTTTGGCCGCTATTATCCTTGCCCAGGTGGCCATGACTGTAATCGTTGCTCCAGAGGTTTTCTGATCCCAGCACAAGTCATGAATCTGCATCCTTTGAACAAAACTTGCTGCAATGATAGCCAGAGTTGCTGCAATGAGCAGAGTTTCCTGCTCATCAGAGTAGTCTGTGCTTTCTGGAAAATTATAATCTAGGAGATAAAAAAAGGATTAGAATTAGAAAGAAAGAAGTGGGAAAGCCCAGCTGGAATGATCTTGGAGGGAGTGAGTGGCATTTAAACTTGGTTCTCACATGGCTGAATTGAGAGAACTGTACAACCAGATTCAGGGAGTAATATCAGCAAAGACAGTAAAGCCGTAAATACTCGAAACATGTCTGAATGGTAGGAGGGACCACGTGTTTTGTTGAGAAGCAATCTTTGGAACAGTCTCTAATCCTTAACTGAAAACCCTTGGGTCAGATGTATTTTTGCAATTCAGAAATTTTCAGATTTTAAAAAAGGATGCAGTTCACATACTCTATATAAAACACACCTGTAGCCCCTGGGAAGCAACTAGTAACCAAATACAGTAGTATTTCTACATCTAACGTGCAAATATTTGCACAAAGTGATATACATAAAGGACATAAATAGCCCCATGTCAGATCTGACGTTCAGATCAACTTTGGTCACCAAATATGTCATGAAAAATAGCTCTTATAAATTTTAGATTTCTGTACTGTTGAGGCTGCAGAGGGATATGCAGCCTGAAAGTTGGGTTAAGAGCATATTATAAGAGATACAAATGCCTGGCAGGGGAGTCAGCTTTCATCATAGGCTGGTGGGACAGCCTTACAGATCACTTCGCACATCCAATTTTTGGCAATTTTTAATGTCTTTTTTGAAAATATAATTGTTGTTTGTACTATATCTTATTACATCAGTTTTTCTTTTAGCTTTTACTTTAATGTGTTAATCTGTCAAACAAATCCCTCTTCTTATTCTTCTCTGACATGCAACAGAACTATTTTGAACTGAAATTTAACTATAATTCTTTCTATTACTACTTTTAATTTCCATAGAGTAAAACTGATTCCTTTTGATGTACAATTCTATGTGTGTTAGAATGTGTAGAGTGTCACATAATCATGACCACAATGAAGATACAGAACTGTTCTATCACCTTGCAACTTCCTTGTGTAGTAGTTTTTAATTACACATCATTAGGAACACGTGAAAGGTCCACCATCTACCTCCTTGAATCCCTCTGCAAGGTAGGAAAACTGTGGCTGTGGATTGCATCTAGAATCAATGTGTTGTTGGCCAAGATGCATATGACCTCTGTCCCTTTATTGTAATGGGTCCCATTTCCTGAAGGATGCAGCTCAAAAGGGCATTCATTTTCCAAATGTTTATTGTTGCAGTTGCTTAGTCACTGAGTCCTGTCTTTTGCGGCCCCGTGGATTGGAGGCTACCAGGCTTCTCTGTCTTCTGTTCCAGGCAAGACTGCTGGAGGACTTTGCCACTTTCTATCCAGGGCCTCTTCCTGACCCAGGGATCAAACCCATGTCTCCTGCATTGGTGGGTAGATTCTTTACCACTGAGCTACCAATGAACTGATTTTTTTCAAAAAGTTGCTTAAAGTATTCCCCACTGCATTTTTGAAATACAAATGCAATTCTATTCAGGTGCAACCTCTAATGTGAGTCCTCTAGCTCTCAGATTTTTAGCACACACCTTCCCCCATCAGATCTCTATATTCATGTATTGTTTAGCTTCAGATACAGAATCCCATGGACAGAGGAGCTTAGTGGGCTCCAGTCCATAGGATCGCAAAGAGTGGGACACCTCTGAAGCGACTTAGCACACACGCACGCATAGCCTCTACAAGTTGCTTAGATTTGACCCACACTATCTAAAAAACTGCCACATGCCTTTAGGGTAAATGGATGCTTAATCTACACCTTCAGCTGTCAGATAAGTGGTATCTGTATTGTAGCTCCAAAATTGATGTGTGATTGTCCTGTGGGTCTGTAGGCAGAAGAGAAAAACTCAGACATGAAAATACTGAGCTACTTGATGCTATGCTTTAGTAGCTCAAGGCTCCCAACTGCATAGAAATCAAATGAAGATTCTTCTTTGTATACCCCTCAACTCACTGTGTTCTAGTGCCTGGCATGTCAGTTCCAAAACTATTCTTTGCCAGACTGTTCTGTCTTCACGGCTCTTTTCTTTCATCCTAGATACCGCACATCTTAGGAAATGGCTTAAATATAAACTTTAGAAGTAAAGGTGCCCAGCTCAACCTTGTGGAGTTTGAGGAAATAACAGAAACAAACCAAGTCAAAATACAACATAGAACCTCCAGTCAAAAAAAAAAAAAAGTGTGAGAATTTGGGAAGATTAAACACATTTCTCCTTTTTAGAAATATGTTCAAGCTTCAGAGTATTCTTTTTTTCTTTTCTGATGTAGTTAAAAATAACTCAAGAAAGAAAACATTCAGTGAATTTTTGAATTTCTGTAGGAAGGTATGTGAAGGAGTCCTTTCAAGGAAGGACAGCTGAAAGGGAGACACGGATTGAATGAACTTATCTCCTGGTAAGTTGACAAGGCTTTATTCCCCTTAAGCAGGACAAAATGACACTAGAACTGTATGTTCTCTACCAGTAGAGTTCTTGTTATAGATTTTATATAAACAAAAATCCCACATATTTTATAGGCTGTGAAATTATCCTGTTTTACTTCTACAAGGCAACTGGGAGAGGAGTTTACAGGTGGAGAGGATATCATAAATGAATACTGGACTGGAAACATCACAATTAATTCAATAATTGTTTTTTATGAAGTGCTTGCAGAAATGACTGCTAGATGAAATGAGCCCCAGTAGTGCAGTAGAGTTAGCAATGTCATCTCTAAGAGGGGGAAGAATGTAAATCTTATAACAGTTTACAGATGTTTTTATTGAAGATCTGTAATCCAAAAGTTCTGACAAAAACGTGGCCACCCTGGAATTGTACAATGGCGGTTTCTGCCAGGCAACCGCTTCCTACAAGTAGCAAATCCCCATTAATCCCTTTGGAATTCATTGTAATGACACTAATCATGTCGAACTCATTGGGTATTAATATAAATGTTTTATGTAATGCCATAGGAATCCAGAACAAAACTCCTCAAGTAGCCTGCATCTATCCTCCTGAACAATTGAACAACAAAAATTGGGTTACAGCCTAAGTACCCAGTTATTATGCATAAATGTTACTCATTATAACTTCTCTGATTGAATATAACTCATTTACACCAGTGGAGGGGCACAGGTATGCAAGAAATGATTAGCAATTTACTGCTTTTCGGGAAGAGCTAATGGACTCAAGAAAACAAAGTAATTCCATACTAGTTCTAAGTCAAGTCTTTTTATATTCTGCCCTCTTTTCTAAGGCACCAAGAATAATATTTCTGGCAATGATGAATAAGCAGCAAATGTTCTTTCAGTGAAAATCCTTGGAGTGTGAAACAAGAGAGATGCCTTGTTTCTCCAGTGATCAAACTTACTACGGCTCCTAGTCCTGTGTTAGTGACTAAGTGTGACCTCCTTTCAGGGCTGCAGCCCATTCCTAGCGGTCCCCTTATAGTTTGAAAAAACAACAACAAACTGTTTCTCTCCATCGGGGTACCCTGAACTTCCCAAGCATAGTGAAAGTATTTAGGGCCACTTAGGAGAAAAGTGTTCAAGAAATGGAACTGCAGCCACAGAGAGAAATATAGAAAAAAAGAGGCAACTTTCACATAAATGTGTCTAGAAGGAGCATTATCTCAGAAAAGCCATCATCGGCTGCTTCTCTTTTGAGATGGCTTGATTTTAAACATTGCATCTATGTCACCTTTGCATAGCTATTACAATTAACAGTGACATTATCCCAGTGACCCTCTGTGGGAAAAACTAATCACATGCTCACTATGCTCCATTATGGAATATTAAGTTGATGATGTCATCCTGTTAAAGAGAATTCTATGAATTATTTTATGTAACAAATAAGTGTTGACTAAAGTGAGTGATCTACTCGCCACTTATCTTGACCAATGCACAGCTCAAATTTATGGATTCGTCCTCTATCTTAGCAAGAAGTAGAGACATGTTACATAAAGCTCCAACAGGAATTCTGGAGTCACGGCGTGAGTCACAGTCAAAGTATGAGTCCCAGAAGACAGGCCAGGAACTCTCTATTAGATTGATGAAATGAATGGAAATCTCTGGGTGGACACATTTGCACTGCACCCACAATATTATTCTTGGTTTGCTAAGAAGAAAGCAATTTATTCTGTCACTTTCTGGGGACTTAGAGCTAATTGGCCTTTCATAGTTATGTGATTCTGCAAATGAGCATAAAAGTGAAAGCTGACAAAAATTCAAACAGGAAATCTGAATCTGCCTATTTTCATAAGTATCTTATAATGGTTTGTAGAAAGGGACGAGATTTTGATTAGAATAGCAAATTTCTTCATGCAAAGGGAAGTGCTCCAAATTACCCATCACTGTAACAAACAGAAAGATTGCTCTTCATTCAGCCTCCTGGGTGAAAAAAAAAGGATGTTCTATCCTGAATCCCACCTCCACCCGCCTCCTCCAGACCATCCATTGTGGCCCATCAGCATTGTCATCAGTGGGCGTTCCTCGGAGCATATGACCTGTCAGAGCTCACCAGCTCTTCGTGGCTCTCCCCACCCCAACCCACTAGGAAGGACATGCATAATACATCACATCTTAGAGACAACGAGACAGTTGTCTACAAATGCAGCAGCGGGAGAAAAGAAAGAGAAAGAAAAACAACGGAAACCGCCACGCAAATGTAATAGAAAAGAAGCTGGAAAAGATGAAGCTCAACACTAAAAAAAGAGATCTCAAAGCCTGAAAAGAATGCTATGGAATTTTCAGTGCTGGCACAGAGGGCAAAAGGCACATCGTTGAAGGGAAGATGAAGAGACGCAAACCAAGGCAAACCCAAAGCACCATTTTTCAGGCATTAAAATCTACAAAATGAATTTGCTGAGGCCAACAGATCGGGGTCTTGAATGAAATTGAGTCTAGCCTAGGCCAGACAGAAGCTAGCTTGTCTTTCAGATTTTGAGGGTTGGAGTAAACTTCTCCTTCCTTTCTCTTTCTTTCCTTTTCCTCTTTTGTAATGACCAAGCTCCCTCTCCATGGCCACTGTGT